GGGGGGGGGGGGGGGGGCAAGTGTGGGGCAGGGCATGGAGAGAAATGAAAAGTTTGCTTTTCCACACGCTAGATTTGACACATTGTGAGACATTTTCTTGGTGGGGGGGACTAGGTGGGATCCAGGCAACCTGGGTTGTGACTCTCGCCCGCCTCACATGAGACGTCTTAGTGGTAATGTTGAGTGGGCAGGCGGATAAATGAGGAGAGAGGTTGGAACTGCGGATACATTTGCGGGTTCTCAGTGAATAGAATAGATGGTGTGTAGACCCTGAGACTGGATGGGCTCACCTGGGGAAAGGTGTAGCTGGAGAGGAAGGGGGGGTCTCAGGACTGAGTTCCAGGACAGGCCAATGTTTAGAAGTCAGGGAGATGAGGAAGAACAAGGAGAAGAGTGTCCTGGAAGCTTCGTGAAGAAGATGGTGCAGGAAGGAGGGAGAGATCCACTGTGTCAAATCTCTGAGATTCTGGTGAGATGGGAACAGAGCAGCAGGACTGGATAACTGGTGAGCTCAGCTAGAACGGCCTCCGTGCGTGAGGGGGAGGGGAGGGGGGACGAAGTGAAGGGCTCCAGTTTTGCCATAAAGGGACAAGAAGAGATGAAAGGGTGACTGGAGGGGGTGAGATCAAAGGACAGTTTTTTTTTTTTTTTTTTTTTTTTTGTCCTTTTTGAGACTGGCTGCACTGCGCTCAGCCAGTGAGCGCTGTGAGCGCCCCAGTCATCCCTATATAGGATCCGAACCCGCGGCGGGAGCGCTGCCACGCTTCCCAGCGCTGCACTCTCCCAAGTGCGCCACGGGCTCGGCCCCAAAGGACAATTTCTAATGATGGGAGACACCAGAGTGTGTGGGGGCCATTGGGAGGGGCTAGGAGGGAAGGCAGAGAGAGTGAGGTGGCTGGAAAGAGAAGGCGGGAGCAGGCAGGACCCAACATGAAGGGAGGCCAGCCAGGCTCTGCACAGGAGCAGGGCACGCCCTCTACCTTTGTGCATGGCAGACGGATTTGTGGCTGGGAGATGGGCTTGTTGCTGTCCAATGGCTTCTGACTTCTGGATGAAATTCTAGGCAGTATTGCTCCAGAGTGGGACGGGTGAACTGTAGGGGTCACCCACCCTTGGGCTTGGTCATGGCGTCACATCTGCCTTGCACATCCTGAATTCTTAGCACCTCCCAGGTGCTGGCACACTGTAGGCACCCAGTACACATTTGCTAATTGAAAGGAGCTCAGGGGTAGGCATCCTCCATAGAGGGGCCGTGTGGAGTGCAGGCAGTGAGTGGGCCACTCTCTGTTGCCTCCAGGCCCAGGACTCCCTGCCCCACTTCTCTGGGGTCTGCCTTTGGCTCCTGGGGACTGGCAACAGGGCATGGGCACATTCCCTGTGAGGAGCCAGGCATGCGTGCACGGTGGGGTTGGTGGCCAGGCTGTGGAGGGGCTGTGCCAGCTATTGGATGAGGTTTCAAGAGGCCAGTTTGGGGAAACAGAGGCTTCTCTGAGTGCTCACAGCTGGCTTCTAGCATCATCACTGCCTTATCACATTTATCCAGCAGACCCCCAGTGGGAGCTTTCTGGGCACCAGGCCCTGGGCTCAGGGTCTCCCAGGTGCTGTCACCTCACCATTTTCCAAGGAGGGGCTTGAGATGCAGAGGGTTGATTCACTTGCCCACACTCTCTGCATCAGTGAATGGCCAAACTGCCACGCCCTGCCCTCACACTCCATGCCACCTGCTTCTTCATCCTGGCTGGGATGTGATATCCAGGGAGGTGAGGATGAAGAGGGAAATCAAAGCCCAGAGCCAGAAGGTGAAAGTCAGGAATGGCTTCTTGGGGGAAGCAGCACTTGAACTGAGTTTGCTGGGCTGAGAAGCAGAGAAGAAACATGAGAGAGTCCCACATGAGCAAGGGACTGGGTGAAGGGTGCCTCAGGGCCAGAACAGGGGCACCTGGATGGCATGGGCCACCTCTTGCCAGGGCCCTCGCTGCTTGCCACTTGGGGTTCTGAGCCATGAACATGCTTTCATTCATTTCTTTATGTGTGCGCTCAGCACCTGTGTACTGGGTGCCCCTTAGAATGCCAGGCCTGTGCAAGGGGCAGAAATGACCATGAGCTGGATGCTCAGCAACACCTCTCCCCCCTCAACCCCCCCATACACGCTGTCCCTCACCCTGTGCTTACTGTCCAGTGGGGAACAGACACTGAATGGTGCCAGGGGTGTCAGGACAGGGGGAGCACTTTGGGAGCATCCAGAGGAGGCGAAATGTGCCCAGGACAGAAACCCCAAGTGAGGAGTCCAGGCTGCTCAGGCAGGAGGGGGCTGGATGGATAAGTCTGGCCACCAGCAGGAACAGCATATACAAGGGCTCTGAGGTGAGTGAGAATGCATTGCCTCCAGGAACTCAGAGGGGCTGCCTGGGGCAGGAGCTGGGTGGGAACAGGGTGTGGCCTGTGAGGAGGGTAGGGATAGGCCAGCTAGAAGGGCCTCTTGGGTCACAGGGAGAGTTTGGGCTTTACTCTAAGATTCAAGGGAACCAGGGAAGGGTTTTGTTTTGTTTTTTTAATTGAAATGTATTGATTATACATACTGGGTACAGAGTTTCAATGCATGTTTACAATGTGTGACTATCAAATTAGGGTAATTAACATATTCATCATTACAAAACTTAATCATGTCTTTGTGATGGGGACATTCAATCTCTTCTCTTCTAGCCATTTGATAACATACAGTAAATTATTGTTAATTATACATGCCTAGCTCAACTGTACACCCACAGAACTTATTTTTCCTATCTAGCTGTTTTGTGTCCATTAACCAACTTCTCACTATCCCCCTCCCCAGGGATGGGGCTTAAGTAGGAGAAGGATATGATCAGATTTGAGTCTTGTGGGGAGTAGATTGTTCTGGGCAGGGATGGGGGTGAGGGGACAGACAGGGAGTGTGGCCTACATGAGGATGACATTGGGAAGTGGGAAGCCAAATGGACAGACTCAGGGACTGATGTGACGATGGGCTGGGTATGAAAGAAGCTGGGGATGGGTGATGGGTGTTAGCAGCTCAGGGGCAGGCAGGGTGTGCCCGTGAATCTGGAGGGAAAGCCTCAAATTTGTGTCCCCAGGTCCATGCCACAGCAGAGCCTGGTACCAGGTGGTGGACAGGGGTGGGGAACCCCCTGACTCCCTCATCCCCATCTCCATGGGCAGGGTTCTGGAGCACCTCAGCAGTCTCGCCAGAGAAGTCAACCTGGACTATGAGCGTAGCATGAACAAGATCAGCTTTGACCAAATTGTCTCTTCCAAGCCTGACACATTCTCCTACGTGACCCTGCCAAAGAAGGAGGAGGAAAAGGTGCCCAAGCAAGGTGAGGGTTACTGGACACGGCCATCCACCTGGCCAGAGCACCCTTCCGCCTTGCCCTCTAGGGTCGTGTGTCTTTGCTATAGGTATCATCAGCCTGACACTCCTGTGCACCTCCAGTCCCCAGCACTCATCCTCCTTCTTTTCCCAGCTGCCTGGAGGGCTCAGGGGAGGCGGAGGAAGCCTCTTGTAAAAAATAGTCTGACTAGCGCAGAAGTTGCAAGGTAGGTGTGTACTAGGAAAGCAGCCATTCAGAAGCAGATGAAAGGGAATTTGATGATCTCACCCAGAGGTCATATAGCCCTTTCTTCAGTAGCAAGGGTAGGTTTGGCATTACTGTGGCCCCATATGACACGTGCAGACCAGTCGCAGGGCAGGACCCTGGGTTCCCAAGAGCCCTCCTTGCTTTGAGCTCACTGATCCCTGCTAACTTTCCTGGGCCGGCTTCCCATGTGTGATATGCCTAGGAGGCAGGCCGGGGCATGGACAGAGGGCATGGTGCTCACATCCTCCTTCCTTGGTGCTCCAGGGCAGGCTCCAGATGGGCCTCAGGTTATGGACAGCGCAGGCGGGAGTGGATGGGGAGAGGCTCTGCAGTTGTCACCCAGTTCTCAAAGGGGTCTGTGACCAGTGGGGCTTTGATGGAATTCCTTTACACATCCCAGAGAAGGCACCCTACTGTGGGGCCTTGGGGGTCCCTCAGCAGTCTGTGTGAAAAGAAGGGTTCCAGGGAGGAGGCAGGAGTCGTATCCCTCCATCAAGCAAACTGTAGGTCCATTGTGACCCCTGGTGCGTCTCAGGCAGGTCTGACGCTGGCCCTTGGCCCCCACCCCTGCAGGACTGGTGAGTATCCCCAAGTACCCCTTCCGGGAGCAGAAGGAGGACTTCACCTTCAAGTCTCTGTTCACGCGGTCTGAGGTCATCACAGCCCTGAGCAAGGTGCGGGCTGAGTGCAACAAAGTGACCACCATGTCCCTGTTCCACTCGAGCCTCTCCAAGTGCAGCCGCCTGGAGGAGTTTGAACAGATCCAGTCGCAGACCTTCTCCCAGGTGTGTGGGCATCAAGGGTAGCCCTTGGGGCTGACAGGCACAGGTCAGGGGCCCCTGGGGAAGCCCCAGGCCAGTGGGCCACACACTGAGGCTGTGAGCCCTGCTTTTCTCAAAACCCGGCCTTGGCCTCTTCCTAGATCTTGTTGGAGGCTGAGGTAGGGACTGAGGGTGATGGCTTATCTTGCAGATAAAGGGAGAACCAGGGTAGGTTGGTTCCCTTTTCAATTGTTTTCCATCCCAACCCTGGTTGCCTGTGAAGCAGACCCCTTGTCTTGGAAAGGGGAGCAGGAACCCCATGTACATCCATATCGACCTGAAGATTGGGGTGTGAGGGAGGTGGGGTGCAGCCTCTCCACTCTGTTCTGTGTCTCTCTGCCTCTCTCTGTCTCATTCTATGTGTGTATTTCCCTCTTCCTGTTTTGGTCTTGTTCTCTGTCTCTGTGCCTCTCTCTTGTCTCATTCTGTCTCTGTCCCTCTCCAGTGGCTAGAGGGAAAGCTCTGCTCTGCTGCCCCTCCCTCCTTGCTTCCCTCCCTCCTCCCCCTCTGAGCAGCTGTGGGTCCTGGGGTCACATGAGGGTGTTGGTTGGCAGGGCTTGGCAGTAAGTTTGGGTGGGGGAGATCCCTTCACAGTCAGATGAGTCCTGGGGCTGCCCCAAGCACCCTAGTGCACAGAGCCCCCGAGCATGGTGGCTATGGGTGGTGGGTTTCTGGGGTAGCCATGTGATGATGCCTGTGGCCACTCCAGGTGCAGATGTTCCTCAAGGACAGCTGGATCAACACACTGAAGGTAGCCATGCGCAGCAGCCTGCATGACACGAGCAAGGGCTGGTACAACCTCTGTGAGACCAACTGGGAGGTGTACCTCATGTCAAAGCTGCGCAAGCTGATGGAGCTGATCAAGTACATGCTGCAGGACACGCTGCGCTTCCTGGTACAGGACTCGCTTGCCAGCTTCTCACAGTTCATCAGCGATGCCTGCTGCAGCGTGCTCGACTGCACTGAAGACATGGTCTGGGGTGAAGACCTCATAAACAGCCCCTACAGGTGGGGCCTGGCTGGGCAGAGGCACCTGTTGATACCAGAACTATTCCTTGCCAGGCTCCAGTGGCTGGGCTGGTGCAGGGTGGGGGGGCTAGGGCAGCCAGGGCCAGGGGGTCCAGCACTGCTAGGTCCTGGACAGCAGAGAGAGTGGGCCCCCCTCCCCAATCCCCCTGCCC